ACATGAGGACCCGGGGTGGGCTAGTTAGCATCATGCTTGCCCGCTACACCTTGGGCCGTGGGTTCGATTCCCGCCATGGCTCTGGGTGTAACGTGTATGTCCCGTTCCCCTGTAATTGGGCCTCAGTGCCTGTTGGGGGACGTAATTAATAAAATAAAATAAAAAAAAAAATAAAATAAAATAAAAAAAACATTGAAAACATTGTCGGGGTTACCGGAATTGCATTTTAGAAATACTAAAGTCTGCAACTAAACCAGAAGTTAAGTAAGCTCATTTTAATAGATTTTGACTTTTCGAGAGTTGTTTACCTCAGTCATGGATTTTTTTAGGATTATAAATGGTATCAAAAGAAAGCTGACGCTTTTCCCCAGAGGACCTTCTATCTCAAAATGCAGACCTCTTCAGCACTTCGTCAAAAAATGCATCAATGTGCCGATTAAAGTGTGATGTAAAAGTTGTTCAACTTTATATTTTGTTTTTTTGTAAAAACTCTAGACTAGATATGAATATAAATATGAAGATCCCCTGGACTGAAGTTTGGTAATTCGAAATATATTTTTTTTTAAAGCGATATATCTCGTATTTTTCTTTTTGGTTTTTTCACTTCTTAAACTTCGTTTTATCTTCAGCAAGTTCTTCTTTTATAATTTGTTTCACAGACTCCACATTGCCTTTGTGCTTCTTTTCGAAACAACTATAGATATTTAGTAAATACACTAGAAGGACAAACCGGACAAGTGCCCGCTTTGCCCTGCCCGCTTTGCCCATTTCGACAATTAAAATTGCAAACAACATCTAAACTCAAAATGATGCAACAAGTGGCAGTTAACTGCTACCTTATGGTAGCCGAATAAACACAAACTGACTAACGAATTTCATTTTTAGCTTAAAAATCACAAACATAGAAAAAACAGATGTGACACACTTTGCAATATTTTTCAAAACCATGTGAAAATTATTTATTTATTACAGCACATAATTGGGTACTCGCAGGAGACCTGAGCGACTGATGTGAAGTATGCGGGGGGGGATGCACTATGTCCGCGCGGTTAGGGCGCACCATCTTTTGAAACGCCAAAACTAAAGAGAGTGCCCGCTTTAGGCTCTATGCCCGCTTTAGGCCCCCTTCCCCTACATAATGTTAAATTCTGGTTAGCTCAAGTCATTAATTATATCAAACCTCACATCAAAAATAAAAAAAAAAAAAACATAAACACATGCATATTCAGTACGATCAAAATTGAGAGTATAAATTTAAGCACAAATTTTCAAAGTCGTGTGACAACCCAAACTCCCCGCCTTAAATTGACATGTGAAAAAAAAATGGAAAGGCCCGCTAAAAATTTAAAATTTCAAAATTTGACCGTGGCTGTGATCGTCTGACAAGAAGAGCCTACGTTGTATGTTCTTTTTTTTTTTAATGGCGGGAAGACGTTCTTTCATACAAGTGAGCATCCACTACGTGCGATGCACTTGTGCAATTCAATTCTGTCTATTATTTCTAATAATAGACAGAATTTTTGGAGGGGGCTATAAATCGCACACCCTCTCTAGGAGGAAAAGAAGCTGCGAGCGAGGGCGACTCGTGACGTGCCCAAGAGGGGCCGCATCGCATTCTCAGCTTCAAAAACCCCCATGGTTTAGGCACCCACATATAATACATCGCAAATGAAACACATAAAAATATGAAAGAAAGAGACAACCACGAGTTGACAGACACACACATATGGGAAATAGAACAAGTGCAAAAACCGTACATATTTTTGAAAAATGGCGGGAAGACGTTCTTTCATACAAGTGAACATACACTGCGTGCGAGTAGAGAGCGCAAGAAATAATCGATACATTTTTTGGGAGGGGGCTAAAAATCGCGCCCCCTCTCTAGGAGGAATAGAGCTGCGAGCGAGGGCGACACGGACTTGCCATCTCGCATTCATGTCTCAGCCCCAAAAACCCTCTGTGGTATATTCACCGACATATTATACATTGTAAAATAATGAAACACCTTAAAAATATGAAAGGAAAGACAACCGCGAATTGACAGATATACACATATGAAAACCAAAAATCTGAGCATCACAAATTTAATAAAAACAAAGGAAAATCTTAATTAAAGTAACTGGATGCAAATACACAAGTTATTACCGGCGTGTGGTGGCAAATTTAAAATTATGGCAGTCAACAAGAGCACAACAAAAATACCCATAAGGGCGTTTTAACACAAGCGGAGTTTAGGGTTACCGGTCGTAGCTATTCTCCCCCGCGACGGTGATTCTATCTATCGCAAGCCTACCGCAAAGCATCTCTCTATTACGGACGTGCCGTACGAGCAGGCCGTTACGGTCGCAGATCCGCAGTTGGGTCTCGGTTTTGGGGTCGAAAGCGACAGTGTTACAACATCGCGACCGCCCCTGAATTCTATACAAACCTGCATCTTTTGTGCAGGTGACACGATAAATCACGCCAGCCCGACTAGGAACCGCGCACTTCGCTTCTGCCACATATTTCGGTGTTATTTACCCCAATTCCATTTTAAATTTTCAATTCCTTATAACTTTGATATTAACGACAACTGAACAAGTGTCAAAGCTTCAAAAGAGCAATAAACAACATTTAAATTCGCCATACAATCTTGTGAAATTTTAAACAACAAATAAATCTTATGTGAGATTTAAAGTTGACAGATAATTTATGCGATGGAAACGTTCATTAAGAAAATATTTACAAAACAAAAACTAGAAAAGATTTATGAAAACAAAAGATCTGATGTGAAATAAACTTGTGCAAATAAAAATATTATGTGAGATTAAAACTGCAGAGCATGAAATTTACGTTCAATTAAAATTATACAACAAAGAAAATTACTGAGGTTAAGATTGTGAGATAGAGAAATATTGCATGAGGTGAAAAATTGCAAAGTTAACAAAATTTACATGAGATTAATGCTTGCCACACTTTATCAACAATTCAAACAAAGAGTTTACATTATGTTAAATTATGTCTTGATCCAAGTGATTGGTTACGGACGGATATTGATGGGTCCTAATCATTTTTTTTTTAAATACACATAGTATTTTTTAAAGTACACGATACTCAAAAACATGTTTTTAATGTCTCGCAGAGAAATTTGCAGCTAAGCTTCGTCCCCTTGGCTCACGACGAATAAAAAAAAATCATCACAATTGAGATGGGGTGGGTGGGCGGGGCTACATTTTGTCTTTTTTCTAGTGTGTGTAGAGTTATTTCGACAACAAGAAACTTAAAACATTTGTTTCAGCTCATTTTTCCATAGTTACTAATACAATTTTAAAACTTGATGTAAATTTTAACGTTGCGAGGAGATGCTTCGGTGATGTAATCAATCTTTAACGTTGCGAGGAAATGCCTCGGTGGGGTCATGATGATAACGATAATAACGATGATAACTGCCTAAGGGAAGAAATTATTTTAACCCCCCGCCAGTTCACGGCACAGTATATTTTACGGTATGAATTAGTTAATTTAACTGCCGTAAATGAACTTTTAGCAATCTTGTGTGAAGAATTAAGAAGTGTTATAATGTAACACTTACGTATTAGCATCCAGAAACCTCATTCATAACTTGTAAACAAAGGTTGTTATCCTGACTAAGTGAATTTCATGAAATCTCCTGAGGTGTCTGTTTAAATTAATCTAATGTCTGTTAAATTGTGTTCGAAAAAGTTAACGATTAAAACCCTAACCTGATCGGTGAATTTACAAACAATAAACCAAATTTACAGCACGTGTAGCATCGGTCTCGAAAATTAACACTTTTTCCGATTAAAAAGCCACAAGAATTGATACGCGTATTGGGGAAAACTGTGACGTTGTCGTTACAATTAATTGTCGTTAAACAAAGGGTTCCTCCCTTTTATTAACTACCAAACCAACTAATTTAACCTAGCTACTTACAGCGTCTTTTTCATCATGCATCCAAATCACCACCAAATCAACAATGATAATAATGCTTTCGCCATGCCGCTAGTTTGTCTATCACTACCGCCCTCTCATAACCACCCCTCTAACTAAAATCCCCCAGCGAGCTACCAACTACCAGAAAAAGAACTAAACGTCCACAACGATTTTTGATAGCATTTTTTTTTCTCAAACTCAAATTATTCAAATCTGATTTCACGCCGCTGTTAATTGATTTCAACGCGAAAATTTGATTCAAATTCAGCGTTCAGATCAGTTTAAATACTATAAATGAAATTAGCAAACTTGAATGAGAAATTAACATGGAGTTTATATGAACAATCTCATGGCTGTTAAATTGTGTTAGGATCAGGAATAGTTAAAACTCTTAACATAAACTGCGAACTTACAAACAACAAACAAAAATTGACTTCACGTGTTAACATCGTCAATCCGACTAGAAAAACCCTAATAAATTAATTTGTTACACTGTGGCGTCGCTGTCGCACGATTTGTTTTAGCTTAAACCATTATTTTATGAAATTATAAAATCAATTTAATGTGCTCGTAGCTTTCACTTGGTGTTTACCAGTACACTGTTATTATAATAACAGAAGTGACCCGATTGTCGTTCGTCCCAAAAGACGTGAGTCGACCGAGGGACCCGCAAATTTTCTACCTGTTGTGTCGCATTGTTAAAAGGGCGATATTTCTTTGGAAATGCACTGTTGCCTATATTATTGACGAACTTTCTTAATTTATTTTTCAAATTTTCTTTTCGGTGAAATTTTAATTCATACTAGGACACCACACCACACATATCTCTATTTTTACATATAGGGATTTATTTTGCTGAACTGTACTTCAGGCGAGGGAAATTCTGTCTGAATAATTTTAGATCCATTTTTTATATAAAATTTGCTATACTAACCCTAATTCAGTTGCTTATAGAAAGATTTATCGTCTAGCCAATTAGAGAACGATTTTCATTAACTGCAGTTTATTTAAACCTATATTAAATACATAATTTTGACTTTCTATATTACACATATCTATATTTACAGGAACTTTAGTTTTAGTATCTAATAAAACTGGATCGCCTGCATACATAGATTTTCCTAGAAGTGTTGCTACGACGACACAGCGTTTGATCAATCAAACCTCGATTAAAAGTCAACAGTTTGATAATGGAAGCACTGGAAAGGCCGCAAATAATTTGCCACGTTCAGCAAGCTTTAAATTATACAATTCACGACGTAAAATGGATACCTTGTTCGGCAAAATTCGTCTCATTAGGAGGAAAATCAAACGGAGCTGGTGTTGTAGAAATTTACTCAATCAGCGGTGAGGGTATAGAGAAAGTGTCAGAATTTGGTAAAAAAGACCATTTCAAATGTGGAACTTTTCACGCTTCTAATTTAAGAGATAGACATTTAGCAACCGGGGACTTTAGTGGACGCCTTCAAATTTGGTAAAGAGAAACAACAAAATTAAAAAAAATCAAACAAAAGTTTTACCTCTAGGGATTTGGAAGATACTTTAATACCGGTTTACAAAACCGAAAAACATAAAGGTGTGATTAATGCCATTGATGGTGTGGCTGGTATGACCTCGGGTTGCGGGGCTCCTGAAATAGTTACTGGCTGCAAAGATGGTAAAAAAGTCAAAAATAAGTCTTCAATTAAGTAAAATTTTGGATTAGGATCTGTTATGATTTGGGACGTGCGACAAAAAGATACTCCTGTAGCGACATTTCGTCAGAGTGAAGGGACCCAAGGAAGGGACTGTTGGAGTGTTGCTTTTGGTAATTCTTATAACAACGAAGAAAGAGTTGTAGCCGCTGGATACGACAACGGAGATATAAAAATCTTCGACTTGAAGAACATGTCTGTTAGGTGGTCAAAATGTGTCAAAAATGGAGTACTTGTCACTCGACAAAATTTCACAAGTACCTATTACATGTTTAAATTTTAGGTAGTCTCTTTACAGTTTGACCGAAAAGACATCCAGATGAATAAATTAGTTGCTACTACACTGGAATCAAAAATTTTTTGTTTCGATGTACGAACCCAACACCCTAAGAAAGGATTTGCCCAAATCGTCGAGAAAGCACACAGTTCTACGATTTGGTCGGTAAAACATTTGCCCCAAAACAGGGAGATTTTTATGACTACAGGAGGTGCAGGCTCGTTGTGTTTATGGAAATAGTAAGTTGAACAACATTTTTAGTTTTTTTCTATGTTTTGTTTTTGTTTTCAGTAATTATCCTAGTAGACGCGTTGAAACAGATCCTGATGGGTTAGAATATGGAGTACCAGGTGAATTAACACTCATACAAAACAGCACTCTAAGTGATCAACCTATCACAAGTTTCGACTGGTGTCCTGAAAAAACTGGGTTGTCAGTATGTTCGGCGTTTGACCAGTATATTCGAGTGCTGATTACTACTAAACTGAATTTATATTAAAACTGAAAATTAAGAACAGCTCAAAGTCTATTTTGTAAAATTTAAAATTGGTTGCGCGCCTTACAGATAAATAACATTTAAATATGTGTATCCAGTGGCGTAACTACCGGTGTTCCATGTGTTCGCCGGAACACGGGCCCGCTGCTTCAAGGGGCCCGGTCCGGTCACACGAACATTTTTTTTTATTAGATTTTTTTATATTATTGTCCAAATTACATCCTGAAATAAAAAATTCGAAAATGTGCGGTAATCCCAGGATCGATGGTTCACTGCTATTTACGAATTTTTTGCTGCAAAGGGCTGGACTTCATAATTTTTGGTTTTGCTTATAGGGGGTGTCTCAAAAAAAATAATCACTGAGTCAATTTATTTTATTGATTGAATCAAGAATTGCAAAACTGAATTTTGAAATATTGCAGACGTTTTGAAGTTAGTGTTTGACATGGTAGGTTTTTAATCAAAATATATCTGTTTATCAAGCCCAAAAACTTGATGACGTCATCTCAAGATTTTGCCGAACAAATCCTATCTAAAATGTGCAAAACATCATCAGTACATTTTCGTAATTTATCATTGCATTCATATTTTTTAGATTTGTTTTTACAGTGACTCCAAAAAATGTATGGATCAGTCAATTTATTTTAGAGAATCACTCAAGAGTTGAAGAAATGACTTCTTTGAGATCTTGCAGACGTTTTAAAGTTATTGTAAGCATGGTAAATTGTTAAGAATATTTACTTATTCCCCCCAAAAAATTGATGGAACGGCCCACTCGATTTTCGCAGATAATTTTGGGAATACAATACAGTTATTTTTAGTATTACACTGGTGGTATACGTTGTGACGAGCCGTCACTAAATTCGTTCACGAGAAAATTGTAACTAAAAAGACTAATAACAAACCCTCAAAACATAACTCGAAAATTTGCAAATCTTAATTAATTAACACGCATGTTCTAATCGGCATATAGTACCATTCAAATAGATAAACAAAATCAACTATCAATCCCCAAATGCAGGAACAAAAATTCGCGTATTCGCAAATTGCGAATAACATTGCGCTTGCCAGACATTGCAAATAACTTGTACAAAATAATGCGCCAGAAACATCGCCAATCGCAATTACTTTCATCTAAAATTGTATCCAAACTAAAACAGCTGCAAACGAAACCCAGACACATAAACAACCTCAGAAAAAACGCCCTCTTTAAAAATAGCTACAACAAGCGAACCACATGTAGCGATGACGACATGAAAAGCATGACGCAAGTTGAAAAAACCCGAAAATATACGACACACTAACCAATAAAAAACGTCAGCCGCGGAACCATAATTAAAAACTAAACCCTATAACACAACGAAATAAAACCTAAAATCCCGTACCGAGTAATACACTAATCATGAAGAAATATAGTCCACTAAAGTCACGGGAGACAAGAATAATGAGTAAAAATCCCTATATAAGCAATAGCGCCGAAAACGGTTTAAGTAGAAGTTTCCAGTTGCGGCCGAAGGCCCTGTCGAATCGTTCGTCGAGATTTTTATTAATTTTTGCTGAATTTTGAAGAAATCCGAACTTAGAAGAATTTGCTGAGCCCGAAAGGAAGATAGAAAAATTCTCAATGCTGCAGCTGTGTAAGTCTACCTTTTAGTCATTCTTAGTTTATCTTGCTTTCCGTTTTTTTAGTCATGTGTTCTCGAGTTCGAATCGTACATGTGTAGCGTTTAATTTATGCGTTTTCTCCGTTACGTTGGGTGTGAACAGTTAGCGCCGGCACCGAAAGTAATCTTTAGTGCTTCCATATGTTCCCGTTTGCAGGTGGCACGTTTAGTCTTGCGTCGGTTCTTGATTATTGGGGAGGATTTTTCGATAATTTACCGTTCGCTTTTATGATAATTATTCCAAATTTCTGTAAATTGCCGATTTAACTCTTTTGCTTGCGACATAAATATTTTATATGCGTTTTTTGGAGAGGATTTTTCTGATTTTTACCATTTGCTTTTATAATAATTATTCCAATATCTCTTTAAATTTGCCGATTTAATTCTTTGCTTGCGACATGAATATTTTATGTGCGTTTTTGGGAAGTTCCCGAATTGAAACCTTTTAATCTAATTTTCTTGCTATCGATTATTTTATATTGAATTTTTGCCGTTTAAATATGACTCCGTTCTCTGATTATTTTGCTATAGTATATATTATATTGCTATATTTCTCACATTATACTTTATTTTAATCGTCTCATTAGCGCATTTATGATACTAACGTCCCAATGTTTAACTGCATGTATAAATTATGACTGTTTATTTTTACATGTATCTACCTGTCCTGTAACCATCAATTTTTCTCGTGAACGATTGTTGTGCTCGGCATATTTAGCTAATCGATGTATGCAAAAACTTATTTATCTCTTTTTTTTACATGTTTATATTCATAAGCTGTCGTAGATTTAAGTGCATGATTTTTACCCGTTATTTTAGTTGTTCTCATGATTTAATTAATATATATAAATGCCCAATCGCAATTTATTTAAATAATTAAGTAATGATTCCATTTAGTAGTTAGTAGTTTATTTTTTTTTTGGTTATTTATCATGCTCGTAATATTAATGTTGTTTAGAAGGTATCGCATTTAATTATGGATTTACCGAATTAATTTTTAGTGTTTTGCATGCTGATTTTTTTAGGATTAAGTTTATTAATTAAAAATGTGGGTTATGTTCATTGATTTTAAGAGTTTTATTAGTGGAATATAATTGCGTAGCGCTTTAGAAGATGGTTTTGCATGTTGTTTTTGTTTTTTTCGTGTTATGTGTGTGAATTTATTTTATGTATTATTTTTCTGTTGATTATTTACACATTTACTCGATTATTCTTTTGACATGCTTATAATGCTTTCTTTTAATATACGTATAAAAATGTTATAAATGTTTAATTATTACCTCTTCCCCTACATGCAGTTTAGCTCTTCCATTTCCAAGGAAATGGGCCTACACCCAAATAAATAATTTTGTTAGTGTCCAAAAGCTCGGCCGCGGTCAAAACTATTTGGGCACGACAACGTGTTGATCGTAAATGTTGATTAGGTCATCACAAAATTGTGTGAAGAAAAGACTCAACTCGAAAATGCTGAATATGTTTCATTATACTTTTGGTGCGAAGGAAGTTCTGTCGAAACAACGTTCGATCAAATTTTTGACAATGGTTGATATAAATAAAACTCAGTAGATGCTCATACTCGAAATACGAAGTATCTACTCGAATATCAAATCAAAATATTTCTAGTTTTTCTAGATGATGCTAATACTTCAGTAGGTAACAGTTGATGCTCAAGTAGTATCTCGATACAACAAAAACGAAAAACAGTGACAGTGTTCAACCATCAAGGCAAAAATCGAGTCACCAAAATATCAGTTAGTATGGGGTAGACACCTTGAGTTGGGAATCTCTATGGTCAGTATTAGAAAGAACGCACTGCACAATTTATGCATAAATAAAAGCTAATTATCTTACGACTTCAGTTTTAATTTATCGGATTCCATGATTCCTTCACTCGACAATGTTTAAATTTTGGGAAAATTTTCGATACGATTGAAGTCGGTTGATCAAAGCTATATATTTGCATGATACAAATTAATAAATTTTAAACATAATTAATATCACTTATAATGTTTAAATATGATAAGCATCAATATACGATAATTAAACCGAAACTCGTTTTCCTACAAACCTGAAATTATTAAAAACAAATCAATTTGTTTAAACAATGTTAAATTATCCCCGAAAATGTGCATTTTCCCGGCCAAAATATGAAAAATAATTTTTGCAATCTCATCGTGACGTACGATGACGTCACTGTCACCTGAGCTACCTGTATAAACGTCACGTTTTTCGGTCCTTTGTGTTCAGTATTAATTTCTGTTTGATGGCGGCAAGATCGCCTCTTCATTTTGGCGTAAAAGTGGAACGTTTTAGTGAATTTCTAGTTTATTATTAATACATATTACGGAAAATATGTTGTGTTAGTGCTGTGAACACGAACGAAAATGGATATTTTTCCGAAAAAGACGGAAAACAGGGTAAGTACGACTTCAGTTTTAATTTATCGGATTCCGTGATTCGTTCACTCGACTTTGTTTAAATTTTGGGGACATTTTCGAAACGATTGAAATCGGTTGATCAAAGCTATACATTTTCACGATATAAATAAATGAATTTTAAACATAATTAATATCATTTATAATGTTTAAATATGATAAGCATCAATATACGATAATTAAACCGAAACTCGTTTTCCTACAAACCTGAAATTATTAAAAACAAATCAATTTGTTTAAACAATTTTAAATTATCCCCGAAAATGTGCATTTTCCCGGCCAAAATATGAAAAATAATTTTTGCAGTCTCATGGTGACGTACGATGACGTCAATGTCAAGTGAGCTACCTGTATAAAGGTCACGTTTTATGGTCCTTTGTGTTCAGTATTAATTTCTGTTTGATGGCGGCAAGATCGTCGCTTCATTTTGGCGTAAAAGTGGAACGTTTTAGTGAATTTCTAGTTTATTATTAATACATATTACGGAAAATATGTTGTGTTAGTGCTGTGAACGCGAACGAAAATCGATATTTTTCCGAAAAGGACCGAAAACGAGGTAAGTACGACTTCAGTTTTAATTTATCGGATTCCGTGATTCGTTTATTCGACAATGTTTAAGTTTTGGAAAAATTTTCGAAACGATTGAAGTTGGTGGGTCAAAGCTATACATTTTCGCGATATAATTAAATAAAATTTAAACATAATTAATAGAATTCATAATGTTCAAATATGATAACTATCAATATATGATAATTAAACCGAAATCCATCTTCCTAAGAACACGAGGTTAGCAAAAACAAATTAGTTTGTTTAAACATTGTTAAATTAACCCCGAAAATGTACAATTTCTGATCTAAAATATGAAAAATAATTTTTGCAATCTCATCGTGACGTACGATGACGTCACTGTCACGTGAGCTACCTGATAAAAGGTCACATTTTTCGGTCCTCTGTGTTTAGTTTTGATTCCGGTCTGGTAACAGCAACACTGGAGCTCCGTTTTGGCTTAAAAGTAGCACGTGTTCGCGAATTTCTAATTTATTGTTAATAAATATTAGCGAAAATGTTTTGTGTTACGTGCTGTGAACATAAAGGAAAGTGGATATTTTTCCAAAAATGCCCGATTTTTTTTTAAATATATTCTTAATAACATGCATTCAGGACTGATAAAGTACGGCTTTGGAATATACAAAGTCCAGCGTTCATAATTCACAAAATACCGTATGTATCATGTTTAAACTACGGCGTCCAAATTTACAAAATACGGTGTCCTTCACCCATGCTATTAAACCCTAGTCCTCTCTTTTAATGGCAAGACGCACTCCAGACCTCCTCGTATTGTTTGGTGCTTGCTGGGCAACAGCAACGAGCGAGCAGAGTCATCGCTCTTTGTTGGCAAACGTGGAGAAATTTGTATATTGTAACTTTTGTAATTGAAGCATTTTGTACTGTGTATTGTATGTGTTACTAACTTAACTTGGGTCTTGCCAATTTAGCTCCAGTGGTGCAAATGCTTTGTTTTCACGGTGCATTTGCTTGGGTTTTAATTTTGCAACAGTGCATTCTTTGGTTCCGAGACTGAATTCTCCATGTCGTCAGACGCTCTGGCCTGGGGGGGCTCTCTTGGCCCTTAGACGTTGGGTCATCATCCTAAACGGATGAGGTTCATCATCCTAAACGGATGAGGTTCATCATCCTAAACGGATGAGGTCAGTCGGCCCTGTATCTATGCGGCTGCGTTCTCCCTTGGGCGTGTGAGCGCTGCGACCTATAGATTTCGTTTCGAGTTCCATCGGTGTGCTTGCTTGGGTATTAATTTTGCAACAGTGCATTCTTTGGTTCCGGGTTTGAATTCTCCATGTCGTCAGACGCTTTGGCCTGGGGGGGTTCTTTTGGCCCTTAGACGCTGGGTTGCATCGTTCTTTGAGAATGAGGTAAGACGACCTTGGATTTATGCGGCTGCGTTCTCCCTTGGGCGTGTGAGCGCTGCGACCAATAGATTTCGTCCCGAGTTCCATCGGTGTGCTTGCTTGGGTTTTCATTTTGCAACATTCTCAATTTTTGGTGCAATTTCTTCCGGTGGTGTATTGGGTACTAACTTTGCATTTGTATTGTATCTGAATTGTATCTGTATCTGTAGTGTATTCTGTATTGTAGCTAGATTGTAGGTACCTGTATTGTATTTCCGTTGTATTGTACTGTATAACGTTCTATCCCTCATTAACAATTCCTAGCCCTCTCCTTTCCTAGCGAGATCTGCTCCAGACCTTCCCGTGGTTCTTGCTGAGCATCAACTATCGAGGACAGAAAATTCAAATTCAAAACCAGCAAAGTTTCACAAAAATCATGAAAATCGCTCGTTGGTGGCCAACGTGGAGCAAAAGAGACTTTTGTAACTCAACTAACTTTGTTAACTCTATATTCTTAAGGAAAAAAAAATATATTACATTTAATTTATCATTTATAAGGACAAATAGTCATTTGCCACGCCAATGCTCATTTTTAGATTAAATGCTCACAAAACGCGTAGATGTTCAATTTGTGTCCAGGGAGATACAATGTTTGCAAGTAGATACACAGTACATCGGGTAGATGCTCAGGTATATAAGAGTAATAATGAAGTAGGTACTTCGTACTTCGAATATGAGTATCTACTCAGTTTTATTCATACCGTCCAGTGTCTCGCTTCAATGTTTGATTATGATGTTGATTATGAGCACAACGCTGATCAACTTCCGAATCCGAATTACCCTTGAAATAAATCGTCGCGATTTGCACCTTGGGTAGTTCGTCGCACATTTGATTGACTTCGTGGACTTATGTCAGCTTGTCGTCTTCTCGGCATTGTAATGAACTTCATAAAACGACACAGAATTATTTTCACAGTCAATCATATCTGTAAATTTTGTCTTGAGAATTTTAAAATATTGAAAACTTCAAATTAAATCCTCGAATAACGGTAAAGTTTGAAGTTTTGTCGAAATCAACAAAGTGACCATAGGTAAATAGAATGGCAGATCAAAATTAATAAGACACTTTCGCAATGTGTAACTAAATTCACTTTAACTAAGACTTTTCTTAAAATAAACGACGTTTTTTTTTACGAAAAAACAAAGAACGATTTGAAATGCAATAATACTTTTTCCACAATCGCACGGAAGAAATACCTAGTTTTGTATGACACGTCAGTTAGGCGACAGGTCCGTCAGGAACGCCAACTATTCAAATTCATCTTTTAGCCGTCTTATTTTTTATAAATTTTCTTACATATAAACCTTCTCCTGACAATAAGGTACACGTAAAAAAAAGAATCGTCCAATTCGGTGCAGTCGTTCTGAAGTTATGAGCGTATGTACATACATTTCCGCGATTCATTTTTATTAATATAGATAGATAGATAGATAGATAGATAGATATATATGTCAAATATGTCAACACGTGACCACCACGATCATGTGATCTCGGTACTGCTCATTAATTGGTCACTTCCTCAAGGGACGCTACTTTAGCCACAGCAAAATCATCAACACGTCAGACACGGTCAAATTGTCAAAGTGACATTTCAAAGTTCGATTAGGTGGTTCAGATTGTTTGTCCAAAGTGGAAGATTTTTTCCAGTTACTAGTTCAAATTTCATGATCATTTTATAAAAATGGGTAACCGATCATCCTTATTGCTGCGCGAGGAAGAAATCGCCCAAATTCAGGAAGAAACTGGCTGTAAGTGTACTCAAACTCGCCAGTACTTTGTAATCATTTGTTTTTCTGTAGTCACCCCCAACCAAATAGAACGCTTATATTCACGTTTTACGTCCTTGGATAGAGGCGACTGTGGTACTTTGAGCCGCGACGATTTTCTCCGCATTCCAGAATTAGCAATTAATCCCCTCGGTGAACGCATTGTGAATTCGTTCTTCCAAGATGAAGGCTTGAACGATAGAGTGAATTTCAGGCAATTCATGCACGTTTTGGCCCATTTCAGGCCGATTAAAAAGAACAAAGAAAACAAACTGAATTCAAGAGAGGAGAAACTCAGATGTAGGCAGGCAAGTTTGTGAAAATTTTAAATTGAGAGTTGTTTTTCAGTTGCTTTCAAAATGTACGACCTTGATAACGATGATATGATTTCAAAGGATGAGCTTCTGGCAATTTTACACATGATGGTTGGCGCTAATATTAGTGAAGAGCAACTGACTAGCATTGCTGAAAGAACGATTTTAGAAGCAGATGAAGATGGAGATCAGATGATCTCTTTTGAGGAGTTTTGCAAAGCTTTGCAACGAACAGATGTTGCCCAAAAAATGAGCATAAGATTTTTGAATTAAGAGTTTTGTTGCGAATTTTTGTATAGGAGGAATAAGACGCATGTGTACAGTATAATTTTTATTGCATTGTAACGCTTAACCAAAAACTACATACATTTATTTTAGTTGAAATATATTTTTGTTACAGTTATTGTACTTAATAAATAGTTGAAAATATACTCTGTTTTTATAGTCAATTAAGCAGTCGATGACACTGCAAGTTTCTTGAGATGGTCCATGAATACCTGTAGGGATACATCATCGGTCAAAACTGGGGCACCTCCGTCCTGAAAAAAATTAATGCAATTAATTTGTCTGCACACAAAATGAAACAAAGACTACAAATCTCCCCTGACCTCTGTAACATCAATAAATTTCAGAACGTTTTTAAAATACGACATAACTAAAAAAAATTATTTCCCTCAAATGTAAATGAGATTTGAAAAAAACAACTACTTATGGGCTAACTGTAAGTGTACACATTGGACGTTATCTAGTTTTTAAACTATTTAAGTTTAAATTAAAAAATATTAATATGACGATCTAAGATACTTCCTTTACAAAAGAAAAAAAAAACGTTCCGAACGTTTCGTGTGCAGTTTAAAAACACCGTGTATTCAGTTATTCAACCCTACACCATGTTAGTCGTGGCACTGCATGAAAAGCAAACCCACAAAATTTATCAGTGCTACAAATGCGTGCCCTTGAAATTTAGTACCCCAACCCAGCCACAAAGAAAATGTTTACTGTACCGCATTTGTGCTAGGAATGGCCTATCCGGAACAAATATGGAACAAAAACAGTATTAACACATGATATGTGATGACCATCATTCCAAAAGAATAAAAAAGACACTTACCCCTCCGTACGCATACATATTGTTGTGAGTCTGACTCGGGTTAACTTTCGACAACAAGAACCTAGCCTGGGACCCCCCTTGTTCCGTATCAATATATCTAGGCATCGGGAACCTCGTCTGTAGAATTTCCTGGGCGTCATCCACCGGAGCTTGCAACAACTGTCTGAAGTTCTCATATTCTGGCATATCCTGGTATTTCAAGTTCCGCCACTGGGCAATAGTCTCCCCATGGAAAATCAAAATTTGGAAGAAAGTGTCCATCAATAAAATTCTGTCAGGTTGAATTGAGCTCGTATCAAGCAAAACCGGCTCTGGAGGACCGTTGAAGCTATAACTGTACAAAATCGGCTGGATCATTATCAACGACTGAGTTAAGTCCTCTCTCATCAACATATGTCTGTAGAACGAAGTTTCATCGGGTGAGTTGTTAAACACTTGCAAGAACTGGGAGCGGCGCAAATGGTACATGAATTGTGGGTAGAGGCTGAAATTTTCGCTAAGTCGGAAGCTATTGGGGTCGTCTTTATTGTATTCGCCAAATTTCTGGCACTGTGGAAAGAGTGGTTTGACTTAGGTTCGACAGTAGGGGTTGGGTGTTTTACCAATCGAATTAACATTCTGTCTACCCATCTGAGAACATCTGGACTGTCGTCAGTTTCTGCACGATATACAGCCATGCGAGCCATTAGGACTGCAGCTGCTTCTTGGTCGAAGCCGGCACTGATGTGATGGATGTTGGCGGTGGCGTCTGCCCAGTTCCTGGCAATGGTCGTCACGCGGATTCGTCTTTGACCACTAGCGTGCTAAGTAGAAGTTTATAATGTAGAGAAGCAATTTTTTGTTTGTGATTTCGTATTTACATGTAAACCTCTATTTTATTGCAATTTTAATTTAATATAAAATTGTGGATTCTCAAAATATTTAAAAATATATATCTGAACCATTGTATAAATAAAACAACTAACAAAATCAAAATGAAGAATTAACAAAATCAGTGAATACAAAATCGTGGACAATCGTGTACACCAATGTTAAAAAATTTGATTTCTTCTTTTCTTATTATATAAAATTCTGTTATGTGAAAGTAATAATGCACACCTTTTAGAACTGCAAATAATTCGTCATTTCTTACATTTTAATAATTTGCACTTAGTCATTCATTGAACTCTCCAATTTAATTAAAATATCAAGTACTAATTTATGGTTGAAATACAATTTTCTTTAAAATTATACATATTTTATCAAAGAAATAATCATATTTACAAATCAAACATGAGAGTAATTTTTCTAAAACATTATAATTTTCAAATATCGATATTTCAGTTTATAGATCACCTTACTGTATCTTACTGTTTTTGTTCGTTCTTTCGATCTGTCGGTTCGTCTCTTAAAAAAGTGAAAAACCCTAGAAACTATCAACATACAATACAGAAAATACGCACCGAAAAAGAAAAAGGATAAAAAGAAAACAGAACAAGATGCAGCAATAACATACAGGATCTTTTATTTAAAAATTGAACACTCTGTATATTTGAAAATTATTTTTTAGTGTATGCTACTTCAAGCACGGTACAACTTTGATCCCTAATTTTTTTTTTAATCATTAGTGAGATATAGAGGAGTGTGAGCTTAGTGACTCACACTACCTATGTAATTATATCTTGGAACAACCTAAACACAATATCCACCAGGGGCTTTTGACAACTATTTTATCGCTGAAAGAGAACTTTGAAATGAATAACTACATAAAGTGATAATGAATGTGACTTAAATTTTAATAAAAGTAGTAAAAATCTTTTAAAGGTTTAAATTCTAAAGCTTCGAGGATAAGGGACTAGAACTAGAACTAGAAGTAACAAAACAGTCACTATATGAACAAAACTAGAAGAAAAAAACGTTGTTTTATCACAGAAAACAAAACAAATACACAAAAAATACAAAAATAAAATATTTGAAAAAAGATCAACAATGAGTATTTCCGATACAGAAAATTGGAAATACTCATAACCGTATTTAAAAAAAAAACAAGCATATATTTTAACTATAAGCGAAAAAAATATTGACGAGTTTATCAACACAATTACTTTTCCAAAATTATAAATATTGATGTTTAAATTTAGCGTTTTCATTAAAAAAAAAAATGCGAATTCTTGACATGTATCATCTTTGACATATAGCCTTCCTCGTGATTATGTACAGCAACCACAAACAGTATTGCTAGTTGCCAAAAAAACATGACACGAACTTTTTCGCTTACTGTATAATAAAATCTTAATAATTTAATTTCAAAATTACAAAACCTATTGCTTTAAAATTCTGTACACGCTTATCACGAATATGGTAAATCGCCAATCAGAATTGGTCTATTTATCTTTTCAAAAACTTTGACGTCATCTCAAAGCAATTTATAGCGTGACATGCTCCTTTATTTTATTTTTTGGTTTCATTTATTTGCAGAACATCGCAAAAGAATCTACGAAGTCATATAATCGATATTATAAATTATATTCCACTGAATCCATTAGAAACAACGGGTCTTTTACCTGATACTGTGTGATAAACTGGATACAGCCCCTTCCACCCTGCGGAATAGGAGCAGAATGCTGATTCACCACTTCAAAGAATAAAGCGATGGTTGCGCTAGGAGTCAACGTACACATTTTCCATTGAACCGTATTGCCCATACCAATTTCAGTATCCGATACTAACGGACTCTTGACGTTCAAAGAAACGCAAGAACCAATACCCCCTTGAACTAAAAACAAAACAAACATGAAATAGCCGCCCTATCGTTGTCAATTTCACAACATACTTTTAAGTTCTCTAGAGCATTTAACTTCTAGCGTCGCATTAAAGGCCATCTTTAATTCGTTTTTTGTATCCCTGACAAACACCCTCTGGAATGTCTGTTTGAACAGAGATGAGTTAAAAGAGTCACCCATAACCATATGGCCACTAAGAAAATGTAACATTAAAATTGCGCTCAATAAGGTAATGGAAAAACAAACCCAGTGGAATTACAACACTGCTTCATTTCCATAAGGCCTGTCTGATCTAACGCACATGAATAGATATCCACGCAGTGTCCGTTGGTGGCAGCCCTCATAGCTAAGGCTTCATAGTGCTTAATTGCTTTCTTCATATATTTAGCGTTGTCTTTGTGAATATCATGATGTGACCTGGTTTTTGTTAATAATGAAAAAAATGTAAGTAAGTCAGAATGCAAATATTGTAATCAACGATATTTAGAATTGTTTGAATGTTATTTTTAATTACAATTAAAACACAATGATTCAATTAAAAATCTTGTAAATAATAATAATTAAATGAACGTATTCAAAAAGATTAACTTCTTTTGGAAAGGAGTGAAGACTTATTTTATATTAATTAAATGAACTGGACTGCACACAAAAAATAATTACCTAATTGGTTGCTTAAGATCATCATTAAGCACCTGACCAGGTCCTTGAGAGCACGGTCCTCCCAAAAACATCATCACTCTAGCTCCTGTATTGGCATAACTGCACTCCAACAACCCTATAGCAATCGAAAGCGCAGCTCCAGTAGATCTCAAGGATCTTTTTCCCTGACCAACAGGCCATGGATCTCTTTGCAGCTCACCTATACCAATATTTATACCAACCGTCAAAAAAATAAACACCCAACATACCAATCAAATCAGTCAAACTCATATCACACTTGGAAATGGGCTGCAAAAATCGACTCGCTGGAGGAATAGGAGCTTGCGGCTGCTGAGGGGCCCTCATTTGCTGCTGCTGCGGCTGCTGAACAGCCACTTTTCCAATACCTAACATCTCCTGTATTTGCTTAGCAGTCAGATCTTTGGTTCCGCGAAACACGTACGATTTGCTACAGCCGTCAGTACCAAGCTCGTGCACTTGGACCATTTTCCCGAAAGTGATCAAACCTATGAGGGCGTTAGGTGGGAGGAGACTTAGAGACATTTGGAGTGAGTCTTTGAGGGCTCCCAGTTCTTCGTCGTCCATGCATGTGTCTACCACGAGTAAATAGATGGGTGGGAGGCACTGGGCTCTTGTGATGGTGTATTCAATGGTCGAAAACATGGGCATGAGCTCGGCGGGTTGGTGTTGTTCGGAGATGGCGGCATATTGCGGCGGGAACTAATAACAAATTTTATTTTGTTTTTTGTTGATAGAAATTTGAGTTACATTTTGACGCCGATTTTCATAAAAATTTCTACTAACATATTTTCTATATTCTGTAATTTGGATTCAGTTTTGGGAAGTAATATTCCATTTCAAAAATGTTTGATGACGCCATATCATCGCCATAGTAACGAATGCAAGTGGTCAAATTGCGGTAAAATATAGCTTCTATATCAAATTCTTAACATAATTTTGGAGTTAAAGTCAAATTAAACAGTTATGTAATTCTATATTAAAATACAAACTTGAAAACCTGATGACGTCAATTTGTCGTCATAGCAAAGATAAAAATATTCTACCTTTAAATTTTGAAACTTCAATTTTAGTGTTTATAAAATTTTTCATATTTGCGTATCAATATTTACAAGATAAGTTATTTTATTATTGGCCTTAACATCAAAATTATTTCAACAAACTACTAAGTATAAGTCCATTCATCAAAATTTACAAAAAATGGAGTAAAGATACTAAACTGGAATATCAAACTAGACACTTACTGGATTCCTCTGAAAACAGAAGTTGCAAACCCAGAGTTTTGCTCGGTAATCTACTTGACAAAGAGGATTAAGAATTGCACGGCAATTATTTTTGGTGCATAGGACGGGATCGTACTGAATGGGGGGTAAATCTTGGCGCTCCTTAATTGGCTGATAAAGACACCCAAGGGGGACTACCAGACGGGTTGCTTCAATTCGACTGGATGGCCACACGTTCCACGTAAAACGAACGCCATCTCGGTCTTCGTTTTGTTGGATATATTCTTCGTACGTTGCCATCTGAAATTATTAAATAAAAAATTAACCCAGATATGGGGTACATCGTGATTTTTTTTGGTAGCTTCAAAAATTGATGAATTTGGTAAACATACCTTTAAGGCGTTTCTGGCGAAGAGTTATAAATACAAAATACTATTTTTTTTTTGTTTTAATTTAACTTAAACTATTAAAACATTTTGCACTGCACACATTTCAAGATCCACGTCATTCACGTCACTTGTCACACATGTCATCAGTACGTGTGCTGCCACTGAACGGCCACATTTTGAACTTTATTTTTTAAATTTGAATTTTATTTTCATCTGTGAAGTAAAGAGTGCGCTATTGCTTTTTAGGATTTTTTTTATGTTGCAAAACTTGAAATTTATTTTTGCTTAATCAGGTATTAGTGTTTAAAACGGATTTACAAAAATTGTGTTTAGCATTACTTGATGTTCTACGTAGCCGTAGACACTTGTAAGTACCGTCAAAGTCAAAGTTGTCAAAAAAATGTCAACGTGACGTTTGGCTGCCGGCAGTGAAAGTAATTTAATTTTCCTTTTTGGTGACCGGAATTTACTCAAGGTTGTTAATTCATTGCAATATGTTTCTGAAGAAATAAAATTCTTTATTATTTACAGTGACTGGCTTTCGGTCTTACCGCAGAAATGGGTCCCGACAGACGGGTATGTATTTTTTTTTAATCATAACATTTAGATTAAAAATAGTGAAAAATGTTTTAATTTGGCTGTGACTAAATACATAGAAATGCCTTTTCCGAATGAAGGAAATTACGACATTGAATCGTCACTTAAAAGATAAGATTAAATAAAAAATGTACTCACTATCTCACTATAAAATGTTATGCATATTTCAACATTAAGTGAGTGTGATTTACGTGCATTCATTGCAATGGTTGGCAACTGTGTTGTTATAAGACTTGTGTGATGTATTTTTTTTTTTTGTAGACGTACGACCCAAGGCAGTATTTATTTGATCCAGCCCTATTAAAAAATCTTGATTGGGGATCAGTGAAGGGCTATCTTTCACCCCCAATCACAAATGAAGGACCAGGGGAGTCATGGCTTGTAGTTCGACCTTTGCAAATTGAGGACTTCGACAAAGGATATCTGCAAATTTTAACACAGTTGACGGCTGTGGGAAATGTGAGCAGATCTGATTTTGAACGTAAGCTATAATTTATAAACTTTAGCTTTAATTTTAAATTGCATCAAATGCAATAAAGAAAACTAAAAAATGTCAGAGGTGTGGCATATTTTAAATAATTTCCTTGTCTCAAGGTTGTTACACCTTCTTTTTAAAGGTCATTAGCAGTTGCTTTTTTAATGGTTGTGTAAAGAAAGTTGTCTGATGATGAAAATTCACTGAGAAAACTTTGATTTTAGAATTTGTGGAAAAAATACCATTATGTCTGGTACTGTTTGATATTCTGAATTTGATGTTTCCTGGAATTTTTAAAGTAGTCTGTATGTAAGTTGTACCCAAAATATATGCGCTTGAAGATTCCACTTTTTGTCATGCTTATACATACGTGTACATCTTTGTTGAGTGGTACTTTTCCCAATAATTTCTTTGTGTGAACAAAATCACCATTTCTAGTAAATGAATCCCAGTTTTTAACAATTTAAAATAAGGTTTTGATTATTAGGATCTTCCAGGTGATTTAGAAAACTATTTCTTTAAATATATTTCAAACGTTGAGAATTTTCTGATAATGCATTATTTCTTACGTAGAATTTGTAGTAAATTTGAAAAAAAAAAAAGAAAAGTTGTCAGATATCATAGAATCTTGTTGGTGTTGAAACCCAAAATTCAGGACCGAATTTTTAATTGTAAACGCGGGGTAGTATTCTTAAAACTAATATTAAAATGCATAAAAAAAAGATATATTTTTTTATAACAAGTAAATCTAAAATCTTAAATTATCTGAATATGATACAAGTTATTTTTAGAAGTTTTTTTGTGGAAATTTTTATTCTTTTATCTCGACTTTCAAGTGGAGAATGTTACATAAATTATCCATTGTTGAAAGTATGGAATAAATTTAATAAGTTAAAAATTTATCATGTTTTACAAAAACAGTGATACATACAAGGAAATTAGTTTTTGTAATGGTATTTTTTACGTTATTCATGTATTTATGACATCACTGATTTTTAAACAACTGCGTTTTGTTTATTTGAAACAAAAGACGATACGGGGTGATTCAATTAAGACTGGCTGACAACCCAACATACACATTAGGTGTTTTGTTCATCTTATGTGTGTACTTTGTATTGTCAGCCAATCTCGTTGTCCTGGTTGAATCACGCTGTATATTTTTTATTTTTGTTTTTAAACAACACTTCCACACTATATTTCAGTCTTATCCCGATCTATAATAGCTTTCAAAATATATACACCTTTATTTTTCATTTCAGGTCAATACTGGAGAATGCAACAGTCTGGTGGCTATTACATCACAGTGATAGAAGACACCAGAAACAGAAAAATCATCGGTGCAGCAACACTGGTCACAGAATTCAAATTTATCCACAACTGCGCTTTGCGAGCTCGGTTGGAAGATGTCGTTGTCAATAACACTTACAGAGGCAAACAGCTGGGAAAACTGTAAGCTCTTTGACAATTGTAGAATGTTCTCTAAAATCAATTTGCCAAATTTCAGAATTGTCTTGACCGTGAGTTTGCTTTCTAAGAAACTGGGTTGTTACAAGATGTCCTTGGATTGTAGAGATCCTCTTATTCCGTTCTATAAGTCCATCGGCTATAAACTGGAACCTGGAAATGCCAATTCTATGATCGTCCGTTTTGAAGAAACACCAAGAATCGAAAACCCATCCTGACAATTAGCCCCCAATGCTTCCAACACCAAATCCAAACTCTAACTGTTTATTGTCAGTTAGAACCCTTTGTAGAGCTTTAGTTTTAGGGTTCGCTGTTTATTACATTCTTCGAAAGTCTGATTGAAACTAGAACTGAAAAATGTGTCGACGATTTTCATGCTTACGTCATTACTTTGTATTGTAAGAATGTTTTAAATAGCTTGCAAATTTTCGAATAACTGTACTGACCAAAATTAGACATTTTTCTTCTTTGTTTTCATTGGTCGATTTCGCGAGAAAGACTTACAAAGGGTGAGTGCATTTTAGTGTATTTTTAATAGGTACTCTAAAATCCACGGATTTGATGTTCTAGCATTGGCTGGTGTTTTGAGCGCTTCGGAAACGCTCCACTACGGCGACCGATGTATTATTGGTTATGGAGAAATCGTACTTAATTTCTTTTAGTCTCAATAAAATCTATTCTTGCACATCGTGTGTGAATTTACCTCTGTAATAACCTTGATGATCATAGAAAAAGTATTGGTTGCAAGAAAACCATTAGGCGATTATCCACGGTTTATTAATTTTACACATTTTATACAATTCGCCAACAACTATAATTATACAACTAATTTATTGTACAGTTGACTTTCTATGATGTTACATACAATTATGTGTAGTGATATGTATAAAAGTTCAACTAATTTACACCAACTTAAAAATGTGTAATTGAAAGCGGTGTCTACTCACACGAAAAATCTAGAATACTGGTTTGAACGAGTTACTCATTTCCTGTACAATAGCATGTTTGAGCGAATTTTGATTAAATCAAAATTGTATGATATCTAATCTAGCACATGTACTTTTATAACAATTTGTAACAAGATGCTAACAATTATATAAAGTTATACATTAGCGTAACGGAATTTTGCCGTGTAGTGACTTTCCAATTCAAAGTTCTTTACAACGTACACACAAACAGTAAATAGTTACAAATGATACTGGAAGACATACATTTCTAGAGGCTAAATGGAAGACATCGTTAATATTCGAAATGCTTATTTCGCAATTTCACAATACGCGATTAACATTCATGGGTTAAAATTGTAAAGTTCTCCGAGAAAACACGTTAGGAATACCCCATGCAACAAAAACACTGTGATCAAGAGCGGTGAGTAATTTTTTCATAAAATAACATTCGGTTTTGAAGACGTGTCTTATTGTCTTAAATTACTTATTGCTTCTTTTTTGTATTCCAGGAGAAGTATACAACTGTGAGTGTTGTTTATTATCACACGAAAAATTTTTAAGTACAGAGGAAGCTTTGGATTTTGTTGCAATTTTTGAAATAATAAGTTTCGATAGTGTTGCAGTCGGACTTGTTTATTTGGATTGTTTTGTCTAAAGTAAACTAATATTGGAAGTTCTTAAGTGTATTTTACCCTGTAAGTATGTGAATAGATTTGGAAAGACATCCGGCTGCAGCAAAAGCTAGGAATTTGTGTATACACGTTTTAAATGTTTGTTGTTTTATTGAATGTTTTGGAACTTCTGTTCGACTTTTGAGTCGAATGTACTCCACTTGTAATAAATCTTTGTAGATTTACTCGGGCTTCAACAAGTATGTGCAGTTTCGCCAAAAACAATTTACTAGAAACAATATTTTGTTTTTAATTTTTGCAATAAATATAAAATCATACAGAGAGCCGTTTTAAATCTTATCATTCAGATTTTTTCATCTTGAAACTTAAAATTTTAGAAATAGTAATTTTACTACATTAATACAAACACTATCATAAAAGTCCGAAGTTTCGAGATATTAGTCAGTTTTTTGTGTTTTTGTTTTCACTAAACGGAGTTGATAATATTGTTATGCACTTATGAACCTGTTAAAATAGGACCTACTATACTTCAACAATGTACAATCTACAAATTACAAGCAGGGTATCCACACTTATACCAGAATTGATAATTTCACGAAATTGATTTAAAGTCTGTTAAAATGTATTTTTTTATTAAAGACGCGCTACCACAAACATTTATTTTTAAAATATGCAATACCTCAAAAAATTTTAGACGAAAAATTTGGTTCGAAAATTATGATTCAGTATTAGGTCAGATCAGGTCAGGTCAGGTCAGGTCAGTGTATGAATTAATGCCCACGAACGTCTGTTTCGGCGGGAGTTTTTAGAGAGGTAACTTTTATTACAGCTACGTGGAAGGGTTGAGTAAGAGTTGAAAACGTTGCAACAAGAATTTATGCTTGATAATGGAAATGTTTTTTTGGTTTTATGAAATTCAGTTTAAAATTTTTGATCTGCTTATTTTATATAATACAGTATATTGTTACGTGATTTGTTTAAAAAAATAATTTCTTATAAATCTATGAGAGACTTATTGTCATTATCTAAAAGAGAAAATGTGTTACAACCGCCTCAGCTCCAGAGACGGTCGTAACAGGAAAACAGGGAAATGTTTGAACAGTAATTTACATCTTATTATGAAACATATGAAACATTAAGAAAAAAAAATCGGTTGTCTGTAAAGTCGGTTTACTGACGATAGTTGAACGTGACAACGTCTTAAGAAAATAATTTATTAAAATTTCTTAAATTTTGATTTTATTATTTTAATAATATAATTAAATTTTTTCAATAGTCACTTAATTATTTATGCAAATTAAATAGTAATTTGTTATAAAACAGTAATAATTTCAAATAATTCATTATAAGAATAAACAATGATTAAATTATTGTTTATAAATCTTACATTTAAAATTTGGAAACATTAAGATTTTCGTAAATCTAGTGTTTAAAAAGCCCGCCTCAATGTGTGTGATATAGGAGAAAATGTTCCCTTTGACGGCTGGCTGGTCCAACCTGTAATTTCAGACACGTTGTTGTGATATGTGGAAGATTTAATATTTATGTTTTAATTTTTTTAAATTATAGCTACGCTCGAAAATTATTTCGATTAAATAGTAAAGCCATCGATTTTTTACTCATCGTGAAATAGTTCTGTTAACTTATTGTTTTAATTTTGTCGCGTTCTCGCTTGCACTTCAAGCCTTACATGGAACGCCTCAGAGCGAGGTAACGCCGCATGAGTCATGTTTTTTCGTGCGTGCAGCCGGCTCAATCGAATTATAAGACGTTGTCACGTCAAAAATGTTTTTTTTACATTTCCACTTTTGTTTTGAAAATTACTTTATGTCCCTGTACTTTCATGATAATTAAACTGAAAAGTGTATTACAGTATTACGACACGGTGTACCATCTTTTTTCTATTTTCGTTACGCCGTTCTAAAAGTAATTGTCATATTTACGTCAGAGTGAACTTATAAACACGTCACTTTGTATATTATTGACCTCATCTGAATATCGACGTAATTTTAACGTTCTAATAAAAATTTTAATACAGTAGTTTTCATTCTTCATTTTCATTTTAAAATTTAATGTCGTGTTAAATGAGTCCAGCAAGAAACAAAAAGTTCGAATTTTTTAAAATAAAAAATATCAAATAGACACATTACTTGCAATTATTATAAATTAGTAACAATATATTCTATAATGAATATCGAATACTACGCTTTTTTTTCTCATTTTCAGAACACAGACAAGTAAACATTTTTTGAGATTTTTACCTTCTAATTTTGTGCCACATAACTGTTTCATATTTGATTACTAATAATGGGCATTAAGTTATTATATATTTCACCTATTTAAAGCCCCAGCAATAGTAAAGCTAATATGTATCAATTTTACTCCTTTAACTGAAACTTCATTTATAGGGTACTTAGATTTTAGAAAAAGCGGTACAGTTTGATGCATGGTACAAGAAGTGTCTTTTTATAACATGGTTTGATGTACCTTACTATTAGATGAAGCGACAAATTCTAAACGAAATTAACACTGCCCATAACTCTCACTTATTATTAAAAAAAAAAACCGGCATAATCAAGATGATTATTTTTGTAACAAAGCGCCTTCACTAAATTGACGTGAAACAGGATAGTTGTTACAATTGTCTCAGCTCCAGAAAAAATTGTAACATTTGAAAATAAATAAGAAATATGTTTATCAATTTATTTTGTATTTTGAAAATATAATATTTACCATTATTTAAAGAGACCTCATCTACATACCTATATCTAGAAGTGAGATATTATAGGATTTCACTTCGCCATATTTTTATTCATGTAAAATATGATAGGTATATATAATTTTGATGTATCTTTGTTTTATTGTTTTTGCAATATTGTCAATCGTTTGAAAGGCACTGATTAATAAAACAATTATGGTTTACAAGTAAAGATGGCGTAAACCCAAATTGTGTGGTTAATTTTATTCATTCTGTGTTTTGATAATAAATCTACATTGTAAAAGAATGTTCAAAGTTGTGAAATTAAAGAGGTAATTACCAAACAGATTTTTAGTGTTTATAGATTCCATTTTACACTAACTTAAAGTTGTGTGACATCTGTGCGTGACGTCATTGTAACATTAAACCAACTCGGGATGTCAGATACAAATGTGTGCAAAAAAAACACCACATGCGAATTTACGAGATTTTAAAATAAAAACTAATGCATCTCACACAGCTTTTTCTGTTCATGGTGAATATGAAAAAATAAGAAAAATAATTTAAATTTCAGTTTTTTTAAATTTTTGTGAAAAAAATTTGCATCACAAAAGTAATACATACAGGGTGTTATTGAAAAGTACGTACAAAAAAACTGACAGTTCTTCGCGAAGTCTAAGAAGCCTGAAAAACTTATTTTGTGTTATCAAAATTATACGGGGAAAATTAATCCCTATCCAACGTTTTTAGACGCTACTGAATGATAAATAGGTAAAATTAATTTATTTTAGCAAATCCTAGCAACTATTACAATAATGAAAAAATAAGAGATCCCTTTGTTGCTATAGAATCGAAAGATGACCTTTTTATCAGAGGGGTACAACGAATTTGGACATAATTTTTAATAATTTTTATCTCTAAAAAAGGGCCGGTTTATCAATGCTCAGTTAAAAGTGTCTGTTAAGTAACTGTCAGATAACGGTAACTAGCAGTTAACGGAGGTAAAGTGTTTATCAATGCACGATGTTTCTTCCAGTTTCGTAGCTCGAAGTTTAGCTCTTACTCTCTTAAGTTGGTAACGCTCACCCCACTGGAAATGAGTTGTGATTGGTCAGTTCAAAACTACCCCGACCTTGAAAGTTCCATCAGATTCGATCCGAATTCGGTATTCAACGATTGTATATCGCGTTTCACGTGATCAATCATGAAAAAGCAAAATTTAGCATTAGAAAAAAAGTATTGGAAATTAAAAATGAAACAAGTAGGTACACCTATAAATAAATACAGAGAGATCGAAAAAGAAATTAATCAAAGTTGGCCATGCACGAAAAGGCGTTTGTCTTAGTTTAAAATATTTTGTTATTAATCGTCACGTTGACAAAAGTAATTTGCACTGTTATCAAACGAAATTAAAGCTTTTTTGTTATTAGAATCTTCAGAAATGGGATAAATTTTAGACAAAATTGGAAAACGGTGATTTTAATTCATTCTTATGTGTTTTAAAAGTAGGCGTCATAATTCTAATTTTAAACTGTCAATTTGACATTTAATAAAAAAAATTAAATTACCCTACCACCGTGATTACGACAAACGGCTTGTCGTGCATGGCCTACTTCGATTAATTTCTTTTTCGATCTCGCGGTATTATTAGATAGGTTTTTAATTTTTGGTACCTACATTAGACCTGGAAAATAATCAGCTAATAATAAGTGTTTTTCTCATCTTTTCTCTGTCAATTTGTTGCACAACATAAGTCCTCATCAAAATATTGTTAAATTCATAACAGATTTATTTGGATTTGTTAGGTTATGTTGCCACTAACTGGTGGATAACGCTTTAACTGACAGTTTGAACTGTCAGTTAATTTATCAGGCACTTTGACCACCAGTTTTGAGCTAGCGGGTAATGATAAACAGGTTAACTCACAGACAAGCTTTAACTGCCAGTTACTTTAACTTAACTGCGCATTGATAAACCGGAAGGAGAATACTTTTACCTGATTTTTTTTTAAATTTTAGTACCCTTACTTCGAGACCAATTGCCGATTTTATTTTGTACGTACCTTTCAATAACACGCTGCATATAAAATGGGAGTAAACAAACTACATTTATACAAAAAATTGCAAATTTCTCACGTTAAAAATGAAAAGTTTGCAGTGGAAACTTTTCGATTTTTAATAGTTGTTTTCTTATAGTATTCGGAGAGATTAGAAAAAACTCTTTTGCATATAACAACTTTTTGTGAAATAATTCACCAAAGAGAAGTATTGCGTTTTTCTTTTTTAGAATTCTACGTATCACATCCTTCATCTGCTGATGTTACTGTCACGTCACCCTAAGCTGCTGAAAATTGAAAACTACAAATGTGAGATGGATCTGGTTTTCATTGTTGGCTACCCTTTAAATAAAAGGAGCAAATATGATGTGGTTTGGAAATTTTAACAGACTTTATTTTTCAATTCGCGTTGCTCTGAGATTTTTTTTGTCAGTCATAACATAACATTAAAATTATCTTCCAAAACACTACCATGTAAAATCAAAATTCATATCGAGCTTTGTCTCGTCAAATTTTAGTAATACGTATATCAGTAAATACTTAGCAATACTAGATTGAGATATACATCTAATATCTTTATAATACTCTAACTGGAAGACAAATTTCAAATTTTCGTTTTGTAAGGGCGTCGAAGGCAAACTTTACTATCAGTAAATGGAAGACTCGTTGAAATCCCACAAAGTACATATTTGCTCACACTTCAGTAAATATGAAACTCTTTCGTATCATAAATAATTGAACTTTATTTGTTATTGCGCTTGTAGACTAGAAGCTTACGAATTGACAGTATTTAGCACTAAATTCCATATTTACTGATCAACTTGTGGGTGTTTAAAATGGAAGACCGATAGAAAACGCGTTAATCAAAGCACGCCCAGAATCTATAATCCCTATAACACCAAAAAGAATACCTAACGATATAATAAAATAATCGAAAGCTACAGTCCTACTATCCATCCCTTCCCTCTTCAACTTCAAGTGAAAATAGCAAGGCCAAATAAAACTCAGCATCGTTCCAGTGAAACTCCCAATAAAACCCATCAAAATGGCGAAATGGGGGATAAAACAAGCCATGAGAATCGTAAAAACAACAACACCTATCCTTGCCGCCAACCCCCAAACTTTCAATTCTCCATCTAAAGCCCAAATAGTAGGAAACGGTGTTTTGGGCTTACCTCTAAAGAAAGCTCTCTCCAAAAGCTCACAAGCTGCGTAGTAAGGGAGAGGGTAGCTAAGTAAGGCTTTGACAACTAAACACAAGTTGACTAAACCTTTGAAACCCGCCGATGGTAAATTGTTGGTGATGACCTGTTGGGTGTCGTTTTGAAAAGTAAGGAAACAGATGTAGCCGAAGAGGGCTTTGAACACGGCTGCCCATACATGGGACCAGTCTAGCATCCACTGAAACTTTGATGGGTCTTCCATATTGCCTTCAAGGGTTGGTAGGAAAATCTGGGAGGTGTAGGAGAAGACGATCACTCCTAAACTGATGGGGAAATTTTCCAGATCTAGATGCCATTTCACTTTGCCCCAACCCCAGTCGCCGATGTACAGAAGACAATACCCGATGATGATGGCGTTGATGAAGATGTGAGCCATCGTGCACCAGAAGGAGAGGAGGCTCACGCTCTTCAGAGACTTCAGAAATGCTAAGAAATACGTAAGTTATTGGTTTAACTTAACTGTAGTTGGCTTACCTAGTGGGATTAGAAAAATTCCTACCACCATCATCCAAGACCTCGTGTCGATGGCTCCTTCAGGGAATGTCCCAATCATGAGGTCTCCGCACACTACTACGTATAAAATACACGTCATCAGGAGTTCTATGATTTGAGCTATATTGACGATTTTGGCTCCGTATTTTTTCCCGAAGCATTCTTTGGCGATCGAAACGTACGAGTCTCGAACCCTGACTTGTCTGCCGGTTTGGATGTCAAATTCGTAAAGACACTCTACGAGGATTTTTCCGGTGTAACAGCAAATGTAGGCGATGCCGACCATGGCGGCTATGGCCCAGTAGCCTCCTCGGAGAACGGCAAACGGCAATGATACTATGAACATTCCCTGAAAAGAATATAGATTTTTTAAAAAATTTGGTGTTAAACTTATTTTAAAAGTTTGTTGTGTGTAATATAAAAATTTAGTGTATATATTTTTTATTGCTTTAGTTTCTGAAAAAAGTTTTTCAAACTAAATAACATTTTGGTAGTAGCAGAATGGCCCGGCGCATCCACCAAATTTATTTCTTTGTAACATCGTGTACTCATTTAGACTTACGAATTAAAAAAAATTGTTTTTAATTCAGTGCGATTTAAACTTTTTATTCTTTTTATAGAGTTATAGAAATTTAGTACAATTTTTGATGTCTAGTTTTCGACTAATTTTTAAATTTTAAGGTCATTTGAGTGCGCCCACGTGATTTCTGTCCGGTTTGTTGTATGTAGAAATTTTTTCTTCTAAAATGTTAAAAATTCTAAATTAGTTATAATAATACAATCTTAGAGATATAATAGAATCTTTGATTAGATAAATTTACCTTATCTTTATCTGATTGTGTTTCGTTTAATTCGCATACTTATAACAATAATAATCATGCTGATGTATTTTATGAAATTTTCTTTTAAAGAAATGTTGCATGCTTTTAAAATCATTTGTTGTTGAAAATGCAAGCAAAATTGACTAATCATTTTATAATAACTTGAGATAGGAGAGATAAGTTAATGCACTTATTACAAAATTTTAGAGATTACCACAAGTAAAAAAAACATTAATTGTATTAGATCTAAATGAGAAATTTCCTACAATTGTCGCAAACTCGAAAACTAAATGGCTTTAATTTTATCACCCCCTTTTTAATGAGAAATTTGCCGTTTCCTTATGATGAGTAGCAGATCTAAATTATTGATTGTCTACCTATCAAGCTAAAATACATCGAAAAAGCTCAGGAAAGTTAGCTCATGATTGACATTTGTGATAGGCGATTAGGCGGCAAAATTCAAGGAATTCTAAACTCAACTTTGGATGTACGATGTTTTTTAATCATGTTGTATAAGATGTAAGTTAAGAGAGTGATTACTTTTTATTTAAGAAGAACTGGAATACATTTCAATACGCTCTTCAGACATCATCAATTTTTTTTACTAAAAAAAAAACAGGTGCGCTTAAGAAGAAAAAAGACAAATTTATAAAAACTTGTCAGAATAACGTATTAAAAAGAAATATTTTTTGGACTTTCTAAATTTTTTTTAGAACAATTTTAAACATTTGGCATATTGTTTGCTGTTTCTGCAATATTTACAATTTATGATTTGCAAAATAAAAAAATAGCTATTTATATTTCTGCCAAAGCCACAGTTTAATTCAAATTATTACCCCCATTAGGTACTGCTAATAATAAATTTTCCGTTGATTTATCTTGCAAGTTGGAAAATTCAGTTGTTCTGAATTGTGGAATGAACAAACAACTTTTTGGTGTCCCTGTTTGTTTTAAAAGGTTTTCTGCAAGATTGTTAATGAAAACAAATATTTCTGTACAAAGTGATATTTGGGGTGGCAGCCTCTGACTTTGAATGCATGAAAGAGATTGAAATGTCAAAATGAGAATTGTTACTATTTGTAAATTCAGTCAAAAGATTTTTTTAATAAAAATAAGTTCTTGTGCGAAACATTCAGTTGACTTTATGTAGTGCTACGATAATCGGTTATTGAAATCGGCGTGGGTGAAACTCAACAATTTATTTCTTAGTAACTCAAATTCATACGACTAATTACACAGCGATTATGTACAAAATAATTCTGACGCAACTTGACTGGATTCTCGACATTCGCTGAACTCGAGTCGTTGATTGAATAATCTCGTTCCCGAAGGTGGCCTCTATATAAATCCATATTCTCTTCTAGATGTTTCGTAGTCGAGATCGTTCTGAAATACCCATCGCGACTTCCGCTTCCAGGCTTTTCTTTAGCGAACGCCGCCCGGCCGCCGTCACCGACGATGAGTCACCCATCATGGCCGTACATACTAGAATCCATAGATGTCGTATCGGGGCGGCGTATGGGTTTCTTTCGTAACAGTAGTTATAAGTAGACAGCGGATTTCTGTCGGGCTACGTCACGATTATAGGTGGGGACGCGCTGGATCGCCGGGACTCAGTAGCGGGTGATAGATAATCACTAAATTTAATCGTCACTTATTCCATAAATACAATTAACGATTTATTAATCAAACGGCTACGTAAATGAGAACGAGAATTAACAGCAGAGTGCAACGAAGCAGCGTTATTCTAATCTCAAATAAACGAAGTGCAGCCCTTAACTGCAATGAATTCCCATCCCGTACGAGCCGTACCGAGTTTGGCCTTGCCTATCCCGACAGAAATCCGCTCTCAAGTTATAAGCAATAAACAGTGTGTGAGTAGGTACCACTTTTTAACTAAACTTGTTAAGGATAAATATCAGTCAGTTACCAACTTAGAATTGCAGTTCCCTATTGTAATGTAAAATAATACAGTATGTAGTATGTAATTTGAATTTTATTAATATATGTACAGTTTAGCCTTAAAATAGTGTGTATCACAGTATCACAGGTTGTTGTGACTAGTGTGAGTGCCTGCGAACACGAGGTTATTGCCGACCATTTTCTGGCCTGGGTATACTATTTCCAGTGCTAACAATAAGTAACCATAAAGTTTCATGTATTATAAACAAATATGTATGTATGGAATTGAATTGAATGAATGACCCACGCTTGTCCAAATAAGCAATTTTCATTGTTAATACTTACACTAATAAGTTTTTTTTTTCCTAACGGCGTGCGGAAAGTGACTAGTTTCCGTACGCTAACCCGTGCGGAAAGTGATACTTTTCCGCACTAGTGCGGGAAGTAAATTGTAAGTACATTTCAAAGATTTATTGATTAATGATTACAACTATTTATATTAAATGTAAAAGAACAATTTATATAGTTATTTTTCTCATTGGTTTCATTTCGATCTGTCCCTTCAGTGGTTTTCATCTCAAACACCTTGCTAAGATTTGCTGCCTCCTTTTGTTCAGATCCAACTTCAGCTTCGTTTTATCGGTGATAGTACAACTGTTACGCCAATAGAGCTACTTCTGAAACTTTCTTTACTTGCTTTTCATTGCACCATGCCCAAAATTCCTTATAAGCCTTCTCATATCGGTCCTTACATTTTGTCGGTATTAGGTCTTGAATTGCAAGATCTGCTTCAGCAACTATATCCGAAGGAATAGAATCGCTAGAGGAATCTTTGTTTTCCATCTTCAATTGGACACACAGAACACAACACGATTAGGTATTATTGACAAATATTTTGCGAAAAACTTGTTTGTGTTTAAACAATTGCATTCGCAATACCTTGACTACTCAACGATATGATTTTCGAATGTACTGCGATTTAAAATTTGACGAAAAACTTAATTGCTGAAAGATTTAACAGACGCTGTTAGGAAAAACATTGTTCCTAACGCGCGCGGGAAGTGCGATTCCGAAACTCGTGCAGGTACCGAAACTCGCTACGCTCGTTTCAGTAACACCTGCACTCGTTTCGGAATCGCTGACTTCCCACACTTGTTAGGAAAATAACTATTTACAACTCTAATTTTAACAACACTTGAAAATGGTACGTGGGCATATCAATGTTTGCTCTGTTGTAACTACATTTCCCAAATTACAAATTTCAGATAGTTAAAGTCCAAGAGGTTTTAAAAGTGCCACATACTAACTTATCAATGACAATTTGCATTGTGTGAGGGTATAACGTTTTTTGTAACCTGTAAATCTGACTTTGATTAGGGGAATATTTTTATGTCAACATAAGAAACTACTTTTCAAATGTTCGTAAATAGGAGGATGTACAAATTTTTGTATAAAAACTGACCGTAAAAATTCCACAAAACTATTAAAAACCAATGTCAGAAAGCGATAATTAATTTTATACTAGCAATATTTAAAACAATGTATTACTAAAATAAAATTGTCAAGCGAAGTGGCGGATATTTAACTTTCCAATTTTATACGACTGCACTTCAATTAAAATTATTAAAAAAAATCCAAAATTGGCAAGTTTTAACAAAAATTACAGAAAAATAAAATCAACAATTTCAAATAACGTTATATTATAGCTTTTTTAAACATCTTCGACAAAACAAAAAATTTACTAAAACCAATGAAAAGTGAAAATTCTCTAAAACGTTACTTATAATAAGAGTTTTTTTTGTTCACAATCTAATAGCGTTTGTCACGGAATTTGTGTTGGTACTGACGTTTTACTAATGCGTAAGTGGAAAAAATATAAGTTTAAAATTGAAATGGTTTTTTATGATTACCATAATTTGTTAAAAGTTTGAGAGCCTTTAGTAGTTCCCACTTTTAAAATGATCACTTTGTTAAATAGTAAATATACAAAATTTATTTTGCTTGATAAAGTAGCTATCCTACCACTACCATATAGATGACCTGTTAACTCTTGGTAGGGTATGTGTTTCATCATTTAGAAAAATTCTGCAAGAAAAACCTTCAGTTCAATTGTTTCTTTTAGATATTAAAAATGGGATAATTTTTTGATGCACGTATATAGAGCACTCTAAATGAGTTCACGTTAAAAAATGCAGGAATGACGAAATTAATATTGTAAAGATTGTAATCAAACGAGGAAGTTATTCAAAGAGCATATGCCATTCATCATACCTTTGAAAATGGTCATAGAATAGACGAAAATTGTTTAAAGTTGATGAAAGCAGAAATAATCTTCTTCGATCTTTCGGTGCACGATAACAGTCTAACGTTATCAGCAACGCGCGGAATTGTATCTCATACGCTAGAACCAGTGCTGTCGCGGCGATAGTTCGATTATAAATATATTTTTCTTTTGGACTATTTCAACATAATATAACATTTCAAGATCACAAATCTGTCCTGTGGTTGAAAAATTAAAAAGGGCATCGAGTATTATTATTTGAAGTAATATAGTAATATAGAAGTTGTTTTTTTACTGGCTGTAAACACTCCTAGCGACGCACTGGCTACGACCTTGTGGACCAGATCAAAGCGTCCCCGCTACTCGCCGCAAAAAACACCTTACTTCAACTGGGGGATTGCAGTGGTGAGATAAATTCCCGCGTACTGGTTATCAGGTTAGCATTGTCTAGATAATGCCAACGTAGTTGGCGAAACTTTCCGTTAATTTTTGGAATTTTATATTTTTGGTGTTATAAGGGTAATAAATGTTGTACTGCAAATTTTTTGAGAGAAAGATGGTGATTTATAAACGAACCTCTGGATATGTGGAATAAGGTAGTCTTTTCTCACCAAAAAATATTCCAATCTCTTAATAACGGTACTAAGAAGAGTGTCCCCACAAATCAAAGCTAATAGATCGTTTTTTAATCTTTGAAAGTACATAGAATAAATGTGGTAATATATAAAAGAATTTTAGATGAAGTTATAGTGCCATCAGTTCTATCTTTGTTTGAGGATTAAAACTTCATATTTCAAGTTGTAATTATTAGCATTCCTTAATTTATACATATATGTTTATATGTATGTATTTAAATATAATAATAATAATTGTAGGATAACTATCCAATTTATCGAGCACATACAGTAAGAAATTTTTTGGAAGAACAGGAAGCCATATTTAAACCCGATAGAAAATGTTTGGGCACGTATGGCAAAATTTATTAATGGCATGATGTTCGATTGCAAAATATTACAGAGTTACAAGAAAAAGTTGTCGAACCCTGGCAAAACATAACGCCTGAATTCACCAGTCAATTAATTTTGTCAATAATGCCTCGTCGACTGCAAAATGTTATCGACGCAAATGGTGGGGTGACAAAATATTAATGGTTTAATCATATTTAATGTTTTTTTTTGTTTTAGAATAAAATTTTACGTGTTCTATTTATTTCGAAAAATTTAATTTGCGCTAGCCAATGGTAGATTTGTGTATGTCTTCATATTATATAAAAGTTTATTTTTATAATCAATTTTATCTTTAGCTAAAAAGCAGAGAATTCACTCTGACGTATATTTTGTCAATAATCTAAGCTTGACGTCAAAAAGGTGGGTATTTTTTTTTGTCAGTTTTGTACCAAATATAGAGATTGACAAAAAGATAACCTATCCTGACGATTCCAGGGATACCAACATACATATCCTTGTTTGTAAGTGTGATTACTGTACAGTGTACAGTGACTCGAAAATGTGACTCGTACAGTCCCAGATTTTAACTCGGTTAAATTTGCCTTCATGGCTTGGTGATTTATATCTGGTAACTATAAGTTTTTGTTATTAGAATATATATTTGAGCTTTACTGTACTTATGGCAACATTTTAAAATTTTGCCGGCGCATCCACCAAATTGAAGCACTTCATTGACTTGAAAATCTGTTTTTCTTTAAGATTTCGATGAAGCATTGTAATTGTAAACATTTACCTGAATAGCATTGGTTACATTCCACGCCGCCTGGTACTCGTTGATCTTAATATCACTCTTCCCTTCAACAAAATCGGAAGTCTCAGAAAAATCAACCGAAGACATCCTGCTCTGACGACTCTCCTTCTGGTACCCCGCTTCGTTGAAGCTGTCCTCCGCCTCCAGGTTTGTCTCCTGCATGTTCAGAAACGGGTTAGTGCTCTTCATGTTACTCATCTCGTGGTGTTCGTCCGAGGTTCCACCGTGGGACGTGTGGTTCTGGTTGATTTGGGCGAAATGCACCCTCTCCCCCGGCTGTTCCTCCCTCGTCCCAGACCTATCCGGTATGATCTGCCTGAAGGTTTGTCCCGCCACGTTGACCGCCGCCGCCAGCGGCGGCAGCTTAATGCTCCCCAAGCGATTCATGGTCTCGTCTTAAAACTACGTGGAAGACCGTCGATTGGCACGTCACTATATATATCACTAGAAACGTTAAAACCGCTAGAAAACGTTGGAAGACCGAGTGGGGTTCAAAAGTAGATCACCGCCAAGATGGATAGAGCTGGTTTTGGGAAGGATTATGGGTTTTGCAATGGTAGAAATCAATAGTAATGCGAAAATTGATGGTGGATCTTCAAGAATTCATTCGCGTTTCACTTGATTTTACACTCGCACGATGACTCGCCCGCTTAAACCATGATTAGAGTTGAATCTGGTGTTGCACTAAGTGATTCTGCGGAAAAATTAAAATTTTATGATTTCCATCTTGGCGGCGGTAGACCTTCGGAAAATTGGTACATTTGCAGCCTCCGCGTACGGTCGGGAGGTGCGCAGGACCGCACTCGATGGATTTTTCGGTTGGAAGGGTTCACTGGTATGCTATTACGGATTTGTACGGGGTGAATTCGAAAGGTTGCTTTAACTTTGCTCGCCAGGGAAAGCTTTTTAACGCACAAAAATTTCATATTATGAATTTTGTTCCTTTATCTTAACATAAACGATGTAAGGGCAATGTGGAAAATGTTTTCAGTTTCAGCTCCCACATTACTCGATTTTTTGTGATCTTTTCATCTTGTGGAAGAATATCAACAGGGTAGATGTGGGCTTTAATTTAATTCTCCCTTTGTCCAACAAAGCGTGCATCAGCAATTTCAGTGGTTGACAAACTATTTCTGTTTACATGAAAATAACATCCTCGACAAAGCCATCTTAAAACATTATTCAACTAAACTCAGGTCTTTTGTTAAAACTTTGAATCCAATAACAGGAAGGTGAAATGTAGATAAATGTTTTGTTTTCTTTTTTTTTAGTTTTAACCATTTGCTTGCGGTATAGTTAGGTTATTACCTTCAACAAGAAAAACATCAAAAATTTTTGCATGGACTAGGTTTGAAATGTCTTCTTTCCCATTTCCGAACAAATATTTCTACTCATAACTCGTACTTTCGTAACATATTTGGGATTTTCATCTTTGTCAAAAACTTTGCAAAAACTGCAAATTTTTCGGTCGTTGATTTTGAATGTTTTATTTTATGCATTTTAGAGACCTTTAGGTTTTAGGCGTACTTTAATTCATTCCCAGTTGTTTGACTTTAATGTTATACCTAGATAAATAGTCCACTTCCGTTGTAAAGCCACTATTCTTACTGAAGGAAACGAATTGCCTTCAAATATGCTGGAAATGGTTCTTCACGTTTTTGGAGTAGCTTGCGTAGCTGGCCATTCAAATACATTCTTGAGAAGAATTAATTACGCTTTCTTATGCTTCTTTAACATGAGGTATTAGCTAGGAAGATCTTTCTTTTCATCTCTTTTCGGAAACTGTTCATTTTTTGTTTTCCTAAACTAAATATATGAGTTTCTCTTCTTCCTGTACTCTGGTATTTTTTAATTCTTCTACGGCTAATAACCAGACTACCCGTACTTATTGTCTCTCGTTCTTTTTTTTTTTGAGGATTTTTTTCTTTGATGACTTTCTGTAAGTTTAATACCAACGTTTTCACTTAGCAAAGTTAAATTTAATCTAGCACATTTTCTCTTATTAAAGTTAAAAATATTATTCTAAATTCTCATTTTTATTGTGTTAGTCCTCAATTTTCTTCACAGTATCTTTTATATAGTGTACAATTGTATTCCAGTGTTCTTCATATTTTATGTACTTTCCTTAATTTTTTTCTTTCTCTTTTTCTACTTCTCATTCAGTGTAATGTATATCCGACTGAGCATTTGTTGTTCTATTTGAATATTTTTTTATTTTATCTTTTATCTGTTCTTAGAATGTTTGCTCATGTAAAGTTTTGATACTGTCTGCCCATTATGTACTTTCAAGTGAAAATTTTTAATAAATATATATTATAGAATGTGATTTTTACAATTTCTTTTTAAACAGCTGTTGATTCAGTGTATAATGCTTCAGTTTTCTTCTGGAATTCATTTCAGAATAATATTTCATGCTAGAAAAATCTGAAAACAGGTTTGTATTCAGCAGAAAAAAATGATTCGGAACGTGTATTTTCATGTCCGACGATTACAGATATTACGTATGTTATTCTTTGGCTTTTATTAAATTTGCGAATTCCATCTTATTAATGTGCCCAGTCCTAGTCTTGGTATCAAGTTTTACAGAACTATATTTTGGGTTCGCACTAATAATGACTAGAACTCCACTTAACAACATTTACTATTATAACATATCTCGAATCAACTCTCAAAATTTACATAAACACAACAATTTTATTAATACAAAACTCCCTATGATTACAGTCTTCTTCCATCCAGATGAGTTGCTATAAAGTACTACTCCTTTATTAAACGCTTCCTTTTCTCAATGTACCAGGACTCTATCGATTGCATTTTTTGATTATAGACTTGTTCAAGGTGAAGGAGTTCACGTACCAATACATACTTTTCTTATTTTCGGAAAGCAGTTCTAAAAGATAAAAGAATATTAGTTCTTCAATAACAATTTATTTAAATTTTTTGGGATAGTCAGGAAAACAATTTAATATTTTTTGGGGGGAAATTCAATGTAGGCTATTCTAAAAGATAAAAACATAGCACCAAAACATAATCAATAATACGTTTTTTCAAAATATTTCTGCAATAATTTGTGCGATTATGTCGTCGTATTTTGTAATTATTGTTATTATTAATGTGGTGAAGTCGCAAACAGATTAAATGACTCATGGGGGACAGTAACACACATATTATAATAATGTTTAAAGAGATTTATTTCGTACAATTTTGAGATGACATTAAATTTTTGGAAGAGATGAACAAATAAATTCTGATTAGCGATTTACCTTATTTTCGATCATCTTCAAGCAAAATTTCAGCGCAATCGGCGTCATAGTTTAGAGGATAGAATGTAAAATTGTTGTATAATTTTGAACAGACACATTTTGATGAGCCTTTTATCATATTCTATACGATATTTTTAAAATACATTTAAAATTTGAATATATAATATGTCCACAAACTTCGGAAATTATCTGTCTAACAAAATTACCAATATGTGATATACAGGCAGAAATAAGCGACCTGTTTTTCATATTCAAGGAGTTACGAGTATAGACCGTCAGAGAAATATTAAATTACCTTACGTTCAGAGAGTAAAAAAATCCATTTTTGGAGATCCATTTTGTTTTTTTCAAGTGTTAATTTCTATGTTACTAGTTTGTTAAACATATACATTAGGGTGATTCAAAAAAAAAAAAATATTTTTTTTTTTCGTGCAAAGAGGTTCAAAAGTTTCTTTTCAACGTAAAAAAATACCAGTTAAAATTTGAGCTCTTAATATTAATATTAAGACCGTCCGCATCGCGTTTTTCTATTTCCCATAAGAATAACATGGGAAAATTTTTGTTTGCACCTTCTGATTTTTATTGCTAGCCCGTCGTGTGTCGTGAAAAAAATTCAATCACATATTTTTATAGAGAATTGAACGCTCTACAAAAAGTGTCTCCTATGATTGTGCGAGAAACCTGATAGTTGAAGAGTTATTTTAGGCTAAAGTTAAATTTATCCAAATTTTGACGTTTTTGATGCATTACAATAAATTTGATGGTCTTATTGGAATAAATCACCACAAAAATTTATACACATTTTAAATTTAGTTTTTTAAACAGTAATTGTTTATAATTTTATGCTATAATAAGGCCAGTAACACTCTTTCCGAACATTTTCAGCATCAGTGGGTTAAAAAATAATAGTCAGGTTTCTCGCAAAATCATAGGAGACACTTTTTGTAGAGCGTTCAATTCTCTATAAAAATATGTGATTGAATTTTTTTCACGACACACGACGGGCTAGCAATAAAAATCAGAAGGTGCAAACAAAAATTTTCCCATGTTATTCTTATGGGAAATAGAAAAACGCGATGCGGACGGTCTTAATATTAATATTAAGAGCTCAACTTTTAACTGGTATTTTTTTACGTTGAAAAGAAACTTTTGAAACTCTTTGACACGAAAAAAAAAATTATTTTTTTTTTTTGAATCACCCTAATATACATAACCTGATGATGACGTTAAATAAAGTCGAAACATGTCGTAAAGTAACTGCAAGCATTTAGTCTCCTAATTATATACTACGTTTAAGAGGCGGACAACTATCCCAAATTAAAAAAGTCCAGTTTTAAAATGGTTAACAAGACAGGGGTGGTGAGATGGCTTTAGAAAGTTATTTATATTTCATTGTTTTACCCAATACCTACCCGAACCGAAAGAAGATAAGGTCTATTTAAAACCATTGAATTTTTTTGTCTCAAATTCAAGAAAAAATTCATTTACATTTCACTGTTTTCTTTAATTAACAACAAGTACAATCTATTTTCTATAATAACACCACCAAGGAGCTATGCAAAAAAAAAAGCAGTAAGTTGCATTATTATCCTTTCTATATAATTTGATGACTACAAAAGTTATTTGGGGTGTTTCCCGTTTTAGCTGAGTCACCCTGTACATTTGTTTTAAGCAGGTTTTTCGTTTATAATTGATCTGTATTTCAATAAATTCTGAATTATGAGGTCATATTGTTTGAGTAGTCTTTCTGATTTTTTTATTAATAATTTATTTTAAGCTAAATTATTTGCTTGTCATGTGATTTAAATTAATTTAATTTCATCAACATTACTACATTAGTAATTTCGCAAACAAATTTGGAGAAATACCCTTCTTATTTTTAAAGCGATATCATATTGGTTTTACTGAAATTGTTTATCTCAATTTAGTAACACCTGTCATCAACCGAAAAAAAAAGTTTTTACAAATATACACTCGCCGGCACAAAAACGGGCCACCCGTATAAAGATCCGAAAATGTGCAAAATAAAGTACGATTTCGGTTGCAATACCTTGATGTTGTTATGCAACGTTTATTGTAATATTACTATCCAAAAAGAACTAAAAAATATATTATTTTAATAGAAAATGATAAAAATTCAATAATCGAACAAAGCTGAAAAAAAATTAAAGTTTCCAAAGAAGCATAATCAATTGGTACACTGTTTAAGGACGTCAATAACGGGTATGTCCCCCACGAACCTGTAAGACTGCTGCCATTATCCAGGGCATCCCATGAAATAAATTGTTTATTTATTCATGTTGGATAATCCCTCATTCCTTTAAAAGCATATTCTGAAGCTCATCTAAAGTGTGGCGTGCAGGTACAGTCAATTATTAATATGCTGGGCAAGAAACAATATCAAAAATAAGCGTAGCACTGTACTCAGAAAAATATTAGCTGGCCCGTTTTTCATGCCGGTGAGTGTACTTTACTTTGTCAGCAATTAAAAAAAAGTTAACCATTAAATATGTATCTATAA